CCAAGGTTCCGCCCGTCCGTCTGTCCGTCCGTCCGTCCGTCCGAAAACTTTGTCCTGGCGATTTCTCTTAAACTATTCAGGGGATTCATCTCAAACTTAGTACATATAATCTGTGTCATATGGAGGGGTGCAGTCGAAAGAAAAAAATGTTTTTATTAATTTTCCATTTTTTAATGAATTTTTCAAACCCTAACCCTATCCTAGCTATTTAATTTGAAACTACTGACACACTAGGCAGGTCGGGGGTATTAGTGAGCCACGCTCACTTTTGACCTTGTTTTTATAATATCTTTGTTTTCTACTTTATGTTGCATAAGTATTTAAGCTGAAATGTGCCATATTCTCATTCCTGATTCTGAAAGTACCAGATGCAAATTACAATTTTTTTTACCTTCTGGTTACACATGTGCGATTCATGACAGTAAAGGTACCAGCATCAATAGGTATGTTAAACTGGGCCCTGTCTCTAATATCACAAGTTGACGACGCGCATAGGGAGCCGGGAACCAGCTTATAGGTGTGTATGCTATTTCTTTGCGCCGTGTTGATCCTCTGGATCCAAGTTATCTTGTATCACAATGTATTGGCGCATGTTGACGACGCGCATAGAAAGCCAGGAACCACACAACGTGTATACATTCGTTATCAAGGACGTTGCACATGCGCACATATAACCGGATATGTAGTCTTTATTAAAGACCCGGATACAAATATATCAAATACAGCCCATGCAAGTCTATAATGTTTGGCAAGTCTAGATTACTGCAGTATCTGAAAATGAACGGTCTCTCAGGGCTCCTTTATATGATATTTTTATTAAGATAATTGAACAACTGTTTTTTTCTGTACGATATTTTCATTTCAGAGACTAGACGTTAGTCTACCGTATATGGTTCAAATAGGCCGTCGCCTGTTGGAGTGATTGAGTATGGTTTTACGCCGCTTTTAGCAATATTCCAGCAATATCACGGCGGGGGACACCAGCAGTGGGCTTCACACATTGTACCCATGTTGACAATCGAACCCGGGTCTTCGGCGTGACGAGCGAACACTTTAACCACAAGGCTACCGGAGGGCCCCTTGCCTGTTGTATAAAAGTAGTGGAACTAGGTTATACTTGGCCACGTATACGTACCTGCATGGGTAGGAGCATTGCTTCTAGGGACTCAAAGGGTATGCTTGGAGCACCGGTAGTGAAGGATAGTAGCACCCTTTTACCCTAGAATCAGACAAGGTAACATGCAGATAGACTGATAATATTTCGATGTAAGGTCTCTTGCTCCAAATCAGACAGGTATTTGAAGCTTGGATGCAGTTGATTATAGTTATAAGTACTTTGTACTATACAACCCACTGACTCAGTCCTTATCCTTCGGACGTGCTACACAACCCACTGACTCAGTCCTTATCCTTCAGACGTACTAGACAACCCACTGACTCAGTCCTAACCTTTCGGACGTGCTACACAACCCGCTGACTCAGTCCTAACCTTTCGGACGTGCTACACAACCCGCTGACTCAGTCCTTATCCTTCGGACGTGCTACACAACCCACTGACTCAGTCCTTATCCTTCGGACGAACTACACAACCCACTGACTCAGTCCTTATCCTTCGGACGAACTACACAACCCACTGACTCAGTCCTTATCCTTCGGACGAACTACACAACCCACTGACTCAGTCCTTATCCTTCGGACGAACTACACAACCCACTGACTCAGTCCTTATCCTTCGGACGAACTACACAACCCACTGACTCAGTCCTTATCCTTCGGACGAACTACACAACCCACTGACTCAGTCCTTATCCTTCGGACGTACTACACAACCCACTGACTCAGTCCTTACCGTCAAAGCACCTTCTTCGTAGAGTCCTGTTTTGCGGACGAATCCGGACATGACCTGTATGACTCTGTCCATCCAGCCCTTCAATATGGCGGGAAAGGAACACCAATACAGAGGGAACTGGAACACGACCAAGTCAGCCCGCTCCACCTTGTCCACCTCGCCCTGAACAACCCTGCATACATCAACTGGGCCGGAATCTGAAACTGGTGAGTGAGTATGGTTTAACGCCGCTTTTATCAATATCCCAGCAATATCACGGCGGGGGACACCAGAAATGGGCTTCACACAATGTACCCATGTCGGGAATCGAACCCGGGTTTTCGGCGTGACGAGCGAACGCTTTAACCACTAGGCTACCCGACCGCACCCTGAACCTGGTGGGAGCATCAGCAGTCGCATATCAATATTCTGTCAAAAATCGAGCCTGAACCAGACAATCCAGTGATTGATATCATGAGCATCAGTCCACGCAGTTGGGATACGATGACTTGCTTCAACCACGTCAGCGAGCCTGACCACCCAAACCCGTCAGTCGCTTCTTAGGACAAGCATAGTCGCCTTTAAGGCAAACATGGGTTGTGAGAGATAAAGAGAGAGACTTCAAACATATTTGTTGTAACTGTCATTAGCCGCAAATGTTTGACCTACTAGTAGAAAAAGGTCAAGTTGTTATCGTGACCAGATTTGAAGAGCAGTCAACAGCAGCGAGTGGAGATTTCCAGAATGGTTTCGTACCGGAACTTGAGTTATCTGCCCTTGTTGAGTACATGGACATGGCAGGCGGGTTCGTTCTGGAAATTTCTGGATGGAACAGTTTTTAATAGCCGACTGTACCTATATAAAGAGCAACAAGCGAACGATTCGAGTCTTTTTGGGACCTGACTTTTTTCTTTTTTCTAATCTATTTGGCAAGTGCTGTTTGGATACCTATTTGGAAACATCGAATTCGTGAGTGCACTGACATTAATTCTAGGGCCTGTTACTTATTACTGATGCCACTTATTTGCTCTATTGTATTGCCTTTTTGTGCCTTTAACCATCTGGCTGCCACCTAAAAATAGCCTGTTTACTATCGCTGTGCCGAGTTTATTTGCGAGTGACGTTCTGGAAACTGAACACCTTCGTCTAAAAACGACGTAACGTAACAACGATAAAACCCACAATTTTCAAATTTCACACTATAAAAGTACAACCATTTCCCTAACTGTCTATGTAAATATTGTAAAGCATTAACGTGATTACCAGTAGTTTATAGCTCGGCAAACGTATTGAATATGCGATTTTTTTAAAAATGTCCATGGCGGCTGTTTTGTTGACATTGCGCACTGGATACTTTGTGCGTCTTGTCAGGTTGTAAATCTCCACCAGTGTAAAAACCAAAAACATCATGCGAAAGCCCGTTTGTTTCCCGATAACCGTGTTGAAAATGAAACATCTCCGTGGAAAATCGTCCGCGAAATCGTCGATTACGAATTTGTTCAAATATGTGTGACGCAATTTTGTCCGTAAATTAGTGAAATTGTAACGTTATCGTTTGCATATCATGTCGGAAAATGCATATTAATGAAAAACTATTTATAAGTTAGGAATAAAATCTTATCCCTAAAATCTGTGGTTTATTACCTACATGCTGATATAAATTGTAATGTGTAACTTTAACTATGAAATTTAAAATTACGTGCTTTTAACACTGTATGTTTGAATAGAATATAATCCTTATTCCTTGGGGCGGTCGGGTAGCCTAGTGGTTAAAACGCTCTCTCGCTCGTCACACCGAAGACCTGGGTTCGATGCCCGACATGGGTACAATGTGTGAAGCCCATTTCTGGTGTCCTCCCACTGTGATGTTGCTGGAATATTGCTAAAATCAGCATAAAACCATACTCAATAACTCATTATTCCTTGATCGTGTGTGGTCATGCACTGATTTCAAAACTAGTTCTGTGTGTACCGTGTGGGTTAAACTCTGCGTTTCAATTTTGAATTCACATTGTAACACTGTAAATAATAATGCATGGCACACCAGTGGTAGTCTTGGTGCGATGACACGCAGTCCAAAAATGCCCCGTTCCACACAGCCGTCTTGGCGCTACAACGGTCGGAACTCATTCTCAGGACGCTTTGTGAGACGGGACCCGGTTTATACAGTGAAAGCAACCGGTCATCATTACAGTCTGTTCTTCCCACAAGACCCGTGAAGATCCGGGGTAGAATAGGTCTTCAGGGACCCATGCTTGTCGTAAGAGGGGACTGACGGGATCGGGTGGTCAGGCTCGCTGACTTGGTTGATGCATGTCATAGTATCCCAGTTGCGTGGATCATGATGTCAATTACTGGATTGTCTGGTCCAGACTCGATTATTTACAGACCGCCGTCATATAGCTGGAATGTTGCTCAGTGCGGCGTTAAATCACAAACAATTAAACAAACATATGATATTGAAAATACACAAGGATGTTTCCTCTATATGATAATGTGCAGTGTGACGTCAGTGGCGTAAATATAAAAACATATTTGTATTATAATAGTTGTGGGGTAGTGGGGTTGATGTTCCCACACCAGGCAACAAACAAACAAAACAAGTTGGGATTGCCGGTTAGAATTGGTTAGAATTGGTTCCAAGTACCGTATTCGACATAATAAGCGCCCAGGGCGCTCTCAAAATTAGAAATAGGGGGCTCTTATTAGAATATTTTGGTGAAAAACAACAATGTTGAAAGATCGTAAATTTCGTGGTTTATGTTGACAGCCTGAAATGTTTACATACGACAGATACATTTTTTTCACGAATTTAATGTCCCATAATTAAGGGTGCATATAACACACGTATTACATTAATTAAGGTGATACACTGATCAATCGAAAGGGGTGCTAATTGGGATTGTTAACTAGCCAATTGTTTAGCAAATATCGCCGTGGGCGCTTATAAGAGCGGGGCGCTAATTAAGTCGAATACGGTAACTTATGTTTGTCCAAACGATGCGACTAAATGAATCTGGCGTCAGGCGCGAAAACTTGTTTCATTGTCCAGATGGCGTGGTTCGTTGCTTATAATATCAATCACTGGTTTGTCTACACTCGATTATTTAGAGGCTGGTGGAATGGTGATGAGTACAGCGTAAACAACAAACACAACAAAATGTCTTTAAACAAGTATCGGGTAGCAGGTCCATATTCATAATCTGTTGTACTATAACGGTAACGCTATTTTCCGTATCAAACTTTAATGATGCATTAACGTGTCATTAAACCTTCATTAACTAATGCATCATTAAATCCAGTTGTACTAATGTTTTAATGACGTCGTGGTGTCATTAGCGCGTCATTAAATTAATAAAGGTTCTTGGGCATCATTAGCGTGTCATTAAAAACAAATATGGCCGCGAACATATTGTTTGAACGCTTAGGACGCACAAGGAAAGACCGTGTTTTCAGAAAACGAACTCAACACCTCGAATCCATGAGCGATGAAGAAGTAAACGCACGCTACCGTTTTGGGAAGGCAAGCATCAGATATATCTGCGATCTTGTGAGAGATGAATTACAGCCCAAATCTTCAAGATATCAAGTATCTTTAGCAATGAGTCTATCACATTAATTTTATTGAATATGGTTTACATAAATTTCGTCGAAATCATGTATTAACTGATCGGCTTATCTCATAAACTCATCGTTATTGACAGCTACATACGTAAAGAGCACCCAGCAATCTACCGAAGTGATACGTGTTTGGTTACTTGTATGTAGTATAAAGTAGAAGATGGATAACAATTTATTAGAATTGACATTGTTAGTTATCTCCCGTTCGTTCAACTGAAGCTATACAATATACAACACAACACTGTGTAGCACACTATCAAACTAATTGTATTTTTTTAATGAACTCTTAGTAACATTTCAAACATGAGGATGTCGTTTTCATTCATGGTGCATCAAGCTATCCAACTCCAATCGGAGCTTCTTGTTCATGAGCTCAAAGTAAATGGTTTGCTGAATGACTTTCTTTTTCTGCTCAAGCAAAACCTCATACTGCAGTCTGGTGATGTCATCCTGTTTGATCTTTCTCTTGGTGACACGATTTGATTTTCCCCCAGTCTGGACCAAAGGCCTGAAAAAATACATTGTTTTTGGATCATGCGAGTCTCCGTGTGTATATACAGTGAATGTTACGCTATATACGCGTGTGTTAAAGGCCAAAATTAGTATGAGTGTTTCAATCTAAGGGATGGGCGAGTAGAGAAAAGGACTTGGCACTACATGTTTGTTAGCATTGCTGCAAGAAGTAAGATTCCAGTATTAATTAACAGGACATACTCTTCGATGGTACTAATGTCGTCATGTAATGCAGATGCGTCGACAGACAGTTCTCCTTCTGGGTAGATCTGTGTGCTGGAACAACTGGGCACAGACGCTTCCTGAGTAGGGACATCGCAAACATTTTCTTCTAAAGCCCGTGCTAACAGGTGTAAAGTCGAAGGAGAGCCAATTACATCGGCGACTTCCGTACCTGCACACACATAAAGTTTTTTGCACACTTATTGAACATCAGTTAATAATATAATTAATATTTTTACACTGTTAAAACGGGAGAGGTACGGCACCAGGGTTATTATCATTTGTTTTATTACCAAAGGAAATGATATATTAGAATTGTATGATATTTTTGTGTGATGACACGGCCTATTTTATGTCTGCAGCCACCTTCAGAAAAATGACTGCTATAATGTGAAATACTTTTTCAACCAATTTTCGTTGTCATAAGAAAATTCTCTCATGAAAAGTATAAATGCTTCAGATAAAATTTGCATTTAGAGACGAAGAATGTCAAGATTTGAACTTAACATCGAAAGACACAACATGAACTTCTTGGTTTGGAATAGGGGTAATGAGAGTTGCCCCCCCCCCCCCCCCCCCCCCTTCTCTTTCCACAATGGCTGCCTGTCGGAGAACGGATGAGAAATACCATTACAAATGTAAATATGCACTGTGTATTTTATCACATGCGGCAATTTAATTGAAAGTGTTGTCAAACAGGTTGGTTAAATGTTCTTTTTTCATTTCCTTTTGATTAATGATCATCAAATCATGTGCAATACCCGATTCCCCATAGCCTTGTTCAACGTGTATGAACAGCTGATTAGGCTACTAGTTCGTTGTATCATGTAAAGTACTTTTTTAACACTTACAACAGTTTGTGTATCAATATTTTATTGAATGCAGGCGACATACCCATTTGCATCACTAGATCGTCCGATTCGATGCCCGTGAGTCCAGTGAAACTGGGACACTCCTTGTAAATGTCGACTATCTTTTCACTCGTCGTGGAAAGTGGGGCAATACAGGGCCCTCCCCCGGTCTTCCTCATGTCCAGCTGTCTGTTACTGAATTCCCTTTTGGCCGTCTGGTGCACGTTCGTCCATTTTGTTTTTATTTCTTTTGTTGTACGCTGACAAACACCGAGAGCGTTAACTTTGGAAGTTATCTCTGCCCAAATAGCCTTCTTTCTTTCGTGGGTGACGGTGCTACACAACTTACTGTTAAGTATGGAGATGTGTTTCTCCACCAACTCGGCAATAAGCTGAATTTCGGAGCTGTCGAAATTCTTGTTTCTATTCCTAGGTTTAGGTGGATACGATGCCATTTTGACAGACGACCGGAAGTAACGCGTACGTGTTTACGTCAAGGAATTGTGGGAAATATTTAGGGGAAACACCGAATTTAATGACAGGTTAATGAAGACACTTACATTAAGGCATCATTAGATAATGATATGCTAATAAACGTTTGATACAACCGATTTTAATGATGCCATTAACTAATGGTGCATTAAGCATTTAATGTATCATTAGGGTTTAATGTAGCCATTAGTTAATGAGGCTTTGATACAACCGACGAAGGAGGGCTTCTGCAAATGATAATGCCCTGAAAAAGAGCGTTACCGTTATTATAGCTAAAATGGATGGAATTTGTTATCAAATAAAAAGAAACAACATCGGTTTTGAAACATTTACTGCAATCAGCACGAATGTCACTGACCACATTTTACAAATATGGAAACGCCATAGAACAAACCAGATGACGTCACTATAATACGTGACGTCATTTTCTATACCTTATGACGTCACCTAACAACGGGTTTGATAATGGCCCGTCGTCAAGCAATATGAGGGCATTATCAAGTTACAATGGCCCGCTCATTTCTGATAACATGCGGGCGATTTAATGATAATTCTATCCATTTTAGCATAATAAACGTTAACTGCTGGGCAAAAGAAAGTATACACCTTTGTTTGACAGTGGCCCAAAATGAAATAAGCAAGAAATGGTTATTCGATTGTGATGCATTGTACGGGTATTATTGTTACGTTTTGGCCCTGAAGTTTGAAGTATGTCGGCGACTGTTCTCAGTCTAGTAAAATTTGATAACGTTTGTAATTTTTTGGTCTCATCCACTTTTCAAGTATAAACTTTCTTTTGCCCGGTAGTGTATATAAAAATACCTGAGAAATCTTCAAGTCGAACCAGTGGATCAAACCCCATCTTGTACAGATCAGACACTTCAACGCTGTGGCCATGCGACTTCAACACGTCAACGGCCGTCGCCAGGAGGGCGCCATTGAACGATTCAGGTTTGGGATGGGCGTACACAATTAACACATTCTTCCCTCCGGTTGATGATGTACTTTAGCAGCCATTCTGGGGAAAGATGGGAAGGGTTTGACAACGACAATATGGTAAGGCAAGTGGAGTATATTTCAATGTTCCACCATTACATCGAAACGCCGAGAATGCTCCTATGATGAGTGAGTTGGGTTTAATGACGTTTGGGACAGTATTTCAGTGATATCACGGCGTGTCATCTTGATGTGATGAGAAAGCTCGAAGAGATGGTTTGTTTTGTTTGTTTGTTGTTTACGCCGCGCTCATCAACATTCCAGCTATATGGCGGCGGTCTGTAAATAATCGAGTCTGGACGAGACAATCCAGTGATTGATATCATGAGCATCGATGCACGCAACATGCATCAAACCAAGTCAGCGAGCCTCGCCACCCGATCCCGTTAGTCGCCTTTTACGACAAGCCTGGGTTGCTGAAGACAAGTAAATGAACAAGTTTTTTTATAAACGATATAACAAATAATGAACAATGTAGTCCAGCTTTCAACTAATAAAAGTAAACGTTCGGAAATCGCTAATTTCCAATTGTCTTGAAGTCAGCAGTAAAAACTGAAACAGTTGTCAAGGCTCTATGCTTTACACATCCATTATAAACCTGTAAAATCATATTGTCAAGGAACTATGTTTCAGTTTTCAATATAACGTTAACGTTCAAGCCCTTTTCTGCAGGTAACAAAAAATTTCACAATGTCAACTTATTTGTGACGTCATGCATACGCTACGTCACCAAAGTGAATATGATGTACCTATCCCGCTATTTTCATCACCGCTCGCTGTCAGTGCTACAAGTCAGTCGCCACACCCTCGGCTCGCCATTGGTCTTGTCACAGCACGGTTTCATTCGTCACAACTCGCCCCTTTCCTTAACCTGATTCGGCTTGTCCCGGAATAATAGGAGTTGGTCACGAATGGAGGCATTCGTGACTACAAAAAAAACCAACTCGTGTTATTCCGGGACAAGCGGAATAGCGACTCGTGCCCTATCATGGCAATTTTTGCGACCGGGTTCCGTCTTAGCGCAAACGGGCATACCTAAAACAATTGTCAACTCGTTGTGTAATGGTTCACATATATTTCCCCTATATATTATATATTTCAGATGCAATTTAAAGCACATCGGGACATGCGGAATTATACAATATGATTGAGCACCTTAACTGTGTCCTGGGTATATTTTTAGATGCAAGATACATGTAAAATCAAAAATTATTTCTGAGGGATTCTTTGACGATGAAACTTGAAATTATACGCGCATTCTGATTGGTTTGTCGCATTTTCGCACATAACATTCATCGATAGGGGGACGAGTCTTCTTGCAGAATACGGAAAGGGGCGAGTGGTGACGAATGGAATGGAGGGGCACGAGTCGCTATTCGGCTTGTCCCGGAATAAAACGAGTTGGGCACGAATGAGCACGGTTTGTCTCGGCCTTTGATTGACATGCAAAAGGGTCGACCACCTCGAGGCTCCGCCTGCTGTAACTAGACCAATGTCTCGTCTACGCGTATGCTGACTTTAACGTAAACATCCTTTATTACGAATAACCACTATGTATTTAGCTCTCCATGGCTCATTAAATACATTGTGGTTATGCCTAATACAGGATATGTACTGTCCAAGGGCGTACGTTTCGGCCCTCGGATGGTAGCTCAGGGTGATGACGGAAGACAAAACTCAGGGGTGAAGTTTAGACGACAGCAGCCATGTTTATTGATGCAGGTTGAAATGAGTTGAAAGGGTACATGTTAATAAGAACGTGACAGAACGCACACCGTGACCGAGTGGCCAATGTTCCCGGGTGGGAGAACCGTTCTGTCACTTACCTTCTGGCTGTCTCCCTGACTGACCATGTCAGTCGGGTTTTGTAGAGGGAGGAATTACGTAACGTGTGGCAAGGTCATTGCCCCACGTGTATATATATGTTACAGGAAACAAGTATAATCAGTGATTAAGTCTAATAACTGGAAATTTCAGTGATTATGTCTAATAACTGATTCACTCGGTGGTTATGTCTAATTACAGAAATCTTCAGTAATTAGACATAATCACTGAAATGAACCAAGGGATTTTATACTTGTTTACTGAAAGCATATCCCTGGCTTTTATAATAACTTGTGAGAAGGCTTCATAATCCTGTCCTAAGCCAATCTCCTGTAAACAACAGAATCATGTGTTGTAACAACATTTGAGAAGGCTTCGCTAGTTGTCCATAGAAATCCCTCTCATCCAAAACTTAATAAACCAAAATATCACCCCCCAAAACCAGGCTCTAGCTCGTAAACACCCCTTACTTACTCCAATATCCCAAAGAATAACAAACTACCTAAATGAACACCAAATTAAAAATCTTAAACAAAACTGCAAACAATCATATATCTTCACCCCTAAACTTAAAATACCCAAAATATACACAACACTAGCTAGCCAAAAAATGGCATAACCTCAGTACTGAAGTGTGGTGACGTTGACAAGTTGATGAAACGACGCCAGTCATCAGAGGAAGATCCACTGTAGCAGCACAACTTAACAGCATCATGCAGAACAGAAAAAGAGCCAGAGAAGAACAAGAAGAACAAGCCCAGCGCATGGTGAAACGCAGCAAACGTGTTTTTGGGCCTGTAAGTGTTGGAGACAATGTAACTGTTCCTATCCCCCATGTCAACAGAGGAAGAGGTGATCCACGTACCATAATTGGTGTAGTTGCTAGTTGTCCATAGAAATCAAAACATATGTTACAGGAAAAGTATATGTTTTATAAAAGCATGTCACACATTTTCCAATGACAGACGTAGAATATATTTAACCTTATGCGATAGGGTTGTCAACTTGCTCCTCTTTAATAATTTGGCGTGTATACGTTACAGGAAACAAGTATAATCATTGATTAAGTCTAATAACTGGAAATTTCAGTGATTATTTTAATAACTGATTCACTCGGTGGTTATGTCTAATTACTGAACCAAACCAAACTGTATAATGCTGACGATTTCAATACCGATTGAACACTCTCTTTGCGTCAAGCGGTTCAACTTGACTCAGTCTGTGGTGGTCAAGGCTTTGTAAGGTGTAATTGTGTTGGAACTAAACGGTGTCAGACCAATCGCTGCAAATGTTTTAAGGCCAAGATGCAATGTAATTCTAGATGTCATTCAAGTCTTTCATGTGCAAACAAACATTCCTGAGTGTCCATCTGACTGCTATTTGTCATACCATTCACGTCATACCATTTTATGAAATAAAAGATTGAACTGTTTAAGCTTATTTCTGTGATTTTTGTGTAAGGTATCTGGTTACAGGAGGTTGTATTTACTTTGATAGCTAATCTAATTTCAAAACTAGCACACATTATAAAAACAAGGCAGGAATATGCTTTCAGTAAACAAGTATAAAATCCCTTGGTTCATTTCAGTGATTATGTCTAATTACTGAAGATTTCAGTAATTAGACATAACCACCGAGTGAATCAGTTATTAGACATAATCAGGGGCGGTCGGGTAGCCTAGTGGTTAAAGCGTTCACTCGTCACGCCGAAGACCCGGGTTCGATTCCCGACATGGGTACAATGTGTGAAGCCCATTTCTGGTGTCCCCCGCCGTGATATTGCTGGAATATTGCTAAAAGCGGCGTTAAACCATACTCACTCACTCACTATTAGACATAATCACTGAAATTTTCAGTCATTAGACTTAATCACTGATTATACTTGTTTCCTGTAACATATATATACGTAAGATCCGGCGACGTTATGAGTAGTCCATGCGCCAGACCCCTGATGTTTATGTTTGACTACTAAATGGAGGGACAAATTTCCATTGTGGTTTTCAGATAGCCTGATGTCCATACTACATGAAATCACATGATGGACATCCCACATGTCCAGCTAAATGTCATTTGGGCCGCCATTTTCAAGATGGCCGCCATTTTTTTTTCCAATTTGCTCCAAATTTCAGAAATAAGCATGAAAAACAGAATTTACAATTCCTAGACAGCTTTTGTGTAATGAAATGTGTCAGGCACTAAATTCCACACATTTTGATATACAACTTGTATGGTTTTGTGTAATAAATATTTCTCTGTTATCAAATTATATTGTTAAATCTATATATATATTTATTTTTCATTATGCAAAGACATTAAGAATTGTTAACTTCAGTGTTATGACTTTACATAGCATTAACATTTTGCGATTGATAACAGCTGTGTGTTGTATTTGTAATAATAAGTGATCACAGAAATTACAATG